GTTGCCGCAAGGTTTCATCACTCATCACTTCTACCACACTCTTTACCCATCTGTGGCGAAGTACATGTGGTACTAATGGAGGAGTAAAACTGCAATATCCTCCAGGGCAATTTTGGGGTTAATGTTCTTTCAGCGCAATTATATCGGGTCCTTTTTACAGGAACCAAAGAAGAGATGAGGCGTATATTCATTCATATTATCAGGATAAAGTAATCAAAAGGAACTAACTAAGATGAAAAGAAAAATAACCCATTATAGTGCAATACAGTTCAGGTTTTGTAGGTAGGTATGTTTACTGTGATTGCAGTATAGTGACTACGGCTTATATAAACGAAGTCAGTACATTGAACTCGTGATGAGTCATACACACACTACATTATATATGCTGTCATAATGTTTTCATGGCGCAACACAAAAATATTTTGTATCACGTTGCATAAATTGTATTCAAGAAACAGGTTCAACCTGACTAGAACCTGATGTACTGTATGGTGTGGGTGTGGTGTGGGTTATGTTAGGAAGCGTCAGACTAGACAACCATAATTTCCTGAACTGGTGAAGTGCACCACATACAGTAGAATGAAGGAAAAATAATAAAAAAAATTAAAATTTTATCAGATTTTCCTTGATGAGACATAAATTTTTGGCCGTAGGTGAGGAAGCTACAGAGAGTCAGCGACTTCATTGTAACATTAACAGTCCTTGTCAAAAACAACACTTTCAAACATTTCTAGTAGCGAAAATGTAAATTACGTAGTTTACATATGGGTGATGAGGCAGCTTGTTCTACTTTCCTTGGCGGATTTCAATTCAAACGTGAATTTACTTTAACTCCTCAGTCTTAATAAATTAGTTAACTATCTGTCTAGACTATTCGGAGTGTCTGTATGTTAAATCATCAATTTACATATACTCACTCTTATTTGCAAGGTCTGTCGAACTCGTTGACCTGATTGTCTTCGATTTCAATACTTTTTCTGTGAAAAGTTAAAACAACATATTTTAATGATGCCTTGTCTTCTACATTTGAGGTCTTTACTAGTATTCAGCTTCCCAGCTGAGATAGTTCTGCTGTTAGCAATGCACATTTCAATTAAAGAAAATGAACAAATCTGAGTGAGGTCTACTTGTAGTACCTATATGTATAATATCAAAGCAATCGGACTTGTGATTTTTACCAAGGATTAAAAAATATCACTTTTTACCAAAAATGACAAAGATACCAACATGAAATGAACAAATCTGAGAGAGGTCTACCTGAGGTACCTATATGAAAAGTATCAAAGCAATCGGTCGAAAATATCACTTTTTACCAAAAATAACAAAAATATTCATCAAAATTAGAAAACTGAAGATATCATAAAATGAACAAATCTGACAGAGGTCTACTTGTAGTACCTATATGTATAATATCAAAGCAATCGGGCTTGTGATTTTTACCAAGAATTCAAAAATATTACTTTTTACCAAAAATGACAAAAATATTCATCAAAATTAGAGATTTGAAGATACCAACATGAAATGAACAAATCTGGGAGAGGTCTACCTGAGGTACCTATTTGTAAAGTATCAAAGCAATCGGACTTACAGTTTTTAACAAGAATTCAAAAATATCACTTTTTACCAAAAATAACAAAAATATTCATCAAAATTAGAGAATTAAAGATATCATTACAAAATGAACAAATCTGGGAGAGGTCCACATGTAGTACCTACATATGTAATATCAAAGCAATTGGACTTGGGGGTTTTAAACAAGAAGTCGAAAATATCACTTTTTACCGAAGAAGACAAAAATATTCATCAAAATTAGAGAATTAAAGATATCATCACGAAATGAACAATCTAAGAGAGGTCTGCCCAAGGTACATATACACCAAGTATCAAAGCAATAAGGCTTGTAGTTTCAAGAAGAAGTCGAAAAAGTAAAAAGTTGATGTGGATGATGACGAACAATCACTCATATGATCAGCTCCATTTGACAAAGCTGTATATCAGCTCCATTTGACAAAGCTGTCTAAATTCAGGATGGAGAAGCACCGTAATGACAGTCAGGTGTACATCGTCAATTCTGATTGTCACCTCTCACAAATTAAACACTTTTTTTCCCAATACTTTTTCACAAATTATCAGCATAACCTATAGCCTGAGAAATTGCATCCATTTGGTCCCAAATTAACAAAAAATACATAAAAATGTGTAAAATATTTCATCAACATTTTAGTGGAAAACAATTAATGATGTTGAAAGGATTATTGAGACATTAATCAGAAAACCCTGCATGTGATTCAGTGATTTGATGACACCGTAGGATACTGAAAACTCAAACATTATATTAACCTATAGAAATGGCAGGTAATTTTTGTCAATTTGTTAGACAGTTCAGCCCGTGATATTTTACAAATATTATAGCATACGACATTATTTTAGTTAAGGCTTTTTAACAGCTTTAAAAATGCCCCCATTCTTTTCACCTCTAGGGGGCGCCACTATCTACGCCACTATCTACAGTGGTGAGAGCGATCCACATTTCTTACTTTGGCCTCTAGGTGGCGGTAAAATACAAACAAATTTGGAGCAAGAGCTTGGTATTAAGTTGTTGATGTATTATAAAAAGTCATGTGATCGAATGTGAATGAAATTTCCCCAGTCATATAATTATAGTAGTACCAATAAGCCATCACCAAATATCAGTAGTCTAGAAAAAATATACTGACAAAATTGATGGAAGTGGAACATCACAAACCCCCACAAGGGAGTCAGACCAGGTGCACGTGAAGGGTAAGCATCTGCTACTGGCATGTCACACCCACCGTCAGGGAAAAATGTCAAATCAAGTTTACTGGACAAAAAACCACACCAAATCACAAGAACCCAGCCACATACAAAAGAAACAATCAAAACACAAATCTGCAATCATGTTACAGACAGAAATCCTATATCTGAGAAACCGCTAACACGACAATCATGTCATCATACACCATCTTTGGTTTCACTCAGACACTAGAAAGTGTGATAAAATTTACTTACCAACAACTAGAATGGTATGCCAATGACAGCAGGCAATGTCAGGCACAACATGCAGCGTACCAAATATGGGTCTTGGCGTACATACAGCATCTTTCTTCTTAAGAGACTTATCAACATCCAAACCAAGTCGACCATTTTCATAATTTCCAAATGAATAAATATAGTTATCTGGAAGTTTATAGTGAATTGTTTTTATTCATTATTTATAAAGTTGATTGGGCCATCCACTGACAATGAAAAGAAGAAAAAACAATAGGTATGGCAAAGATTTTACAAGATGAGGATATATACAACTATCTCTGTACAATGATATGCAATGATAATCTTATTGTGTGTGTCAATGAGATGAATTTCTAACCAATGCTAATCACATAACATAGTGGACACTTGGAAAGGTTTGATTGCATAAACCGAAATATTTATTCATTTTTCACGAGTTTTCAATTACATTTCATATTGATAAAAAAATACAATTGCTAAATATATAAACATGGAAAACTAAAGAAAGTATACCAGGTCTGGTAGTGTCAATGTCATATTGTGATGTCATATTTTTGCATATTTTGCCAACCATGAGAAGCGTTATTAACAGTGCTCATACATTGTTTTATTAATAATGCTTTGTCGCATAGAAACTAAAAAAAACGAATCCAACGGGTCTTGGAGGCTTACTTTCAATAGATCACAGCAAAGCGGCTGCTCTGCTAAGTATGACACCCCAATCCATACCCAAGCCTGAGACAAACTCTAACCAGTTCTTTCACAGACTTATTTAGGTTTATTTGTCTTTTGATTTTGTGATCATTTTCAATTTGTGTGAGATCTTCAATGCATATCACAATACTTGCATACCCATATCTTATAAGTCTTTGAATACATTTGAAAGTATGCAAAACAAAAAATTTGGCAGTGAGAAATCAACATTAACAGTGAATAGATGAGTGATAACTATACAAACATAGCATACAGAAAACAAAGACAAATTTTGTCATTTTCAAAAAATTGAACCTGTGTTCCTTTTTCCAGAATTTTTTTTTTTAATTTA